CTAGGCAGTAAAATCATGGTCCCCTTTGCCATGATTGCTATCCTGTGGTGGCAGTGAACTATTAGGCCACTCCCTCTCTTCCCATAGCAAATACTTCCAGAGCACTTATCACATGCCAGGCACTCTTCTGGGCACTGGGATATCACCAGTAATAAAGCAGACATCTTTGCAATCCTCAAGAAACTTATCTAAAAGTAGAGGGGAGATAGAAAAGCAAATATTTAAGGTGAAGTGGTGATTCATGTTTATATAATATCAACAGACATTGCTCATTCATTAACAAATAGCTACTAAACATCTACAAGGCATCAGAGATGAGAGGGAGTCAAAGATAAAGACAAAGTATTATATCACCAGGTGCCATTCCTAGGGTCTACCTCCTCTCCCCCAGAGAATAAGCAACTCATTCATCCATTTATCAATGAGTCACCAAAATGCAAATGACCCACCTGAGGCAGGTAGATAAAAAGAAGGACTAGAGCTGATCCCTTGAGTCCAGAGCCAGAAAGCTTCTTGGAGGAAGGGATCCAAAAGGAGGGATTTGGTTCAACTCCAGAGTTGTTGCAGGAGCCATAAACCAAGGGTAATGACACAGATGGAGACTCCCCACCACTTTTTTTATAGCCCCAACTGTCCCTCTATTGGATACATCAAATCCTTATCCCTGCATTGGACTGGGTGGGAAAGTAGGCACTTTTGAGAGGAGCAGATGATTTGCTGCAGAGGCTCAGTCCTCCCAAATAGGTTTGAAGAGAGAGAACACCCAAAGATAGAGGGCATGGTGGCAGCTTAAGAGAGAAGGAGGTGGGACAGAGAAGCCACTCATCCAAAGAAATCCTCAACTGTCATCCCACCAAGCCCCAAGGAGTGTGTGCTGAATTAAGTCCCGGAGAACACTGAAAAACAGTATCAATTTGAACTTTTCCTGCTGTGGGCACAGAAAGGAGTGGTGAAGAGGCTAGCAACCATGCACGAGTTGGAAACATGGCAGTGTTACTTAGTTGTGCAACCTTATCTCACCAAATTCATTTTCTCACCAGCAAAATGAGATTAATAATCATTATCGAAGTCCATTTTTTGTTACTATAACTTAATACCTGAAGCTGGTATCGTTGATAAAGTAAACAGGTTTACTTAGCTCACAGTTCTGGAGGCTCAAGGGCATGGCACCAGCATCAGCTCAGCTCTGGTAAAGGTCTCATGGAAAATGATACAGAAATAGTGAGAGCATATGGGGGGACAGAGATGACATCAGCAAACAGGAAGCCAAAGAGTGATTCAAATCAGGCTGGCTCTTCCATACGTTCTTAGGAAAACTAACAGGATTCCAAAGGACCACCTTAATCTCTCCCAAGGTACACCTTTAATGACCTGAGGACCTCCCACCTCCATCACATGAACTCTTGGGGGACAAACCACATCCAAAGCATAACACTCATAAAACCTAACTCAATGAATCAATATGGTAACTAATAATCACACAGCAAGCACTCAAAATGTCTAAAATTATATATTATCATTAAACATAATAAGAAGATAAACATTTTCCAACTTCAATTTTACAGTTAACCTGCTTCAACACATTAATGCTCCACCACCCGTCTACCCTCCAAACTCATCTCAGTGACCTGCATTAGTAATGCACCAGTCATGTCCTCTGGGCCGCCGGGCAGGCAGGGCAATTCCCACTACACACTTCCATTCCTCTACCCTCCCATGCCCTCACATTCTCTGCCTCATAGGCAACTTCATGTCAATGGGTTTCTACCCAGGTCCTAGCTTACTGCACCATTTTACCTCCACTTCCTCACCTCTAGCAAGTTTCTTCGAGCAAGTTTCTTCCACCAAAGCGTAGCATTCCAAAACTATATTCCAGGAAAAGTCCCCACCCATCAATGCACATACCTGAATGAGGGCCTAATTACTACCCTGGGTCAAAGTCTCAAGTTCATTCATCCAGCTATGTTACTGGATCCAGCAAGTGTTACTATGCCTCCTACATTACCATCAAATACTTAATCCCACATCGATAGTTCCAGAGCCCCTGTCTAGCCTTATTTTATGAATTGCAAGCCTTTAGAGAATCAGCTAATGGCTCCTATAGCCTATGAGATAAAAAAATTAGGAGTCCTCCCCTTTCTCCATTTCCCACAGCTCTTCGTGCTGGCCATTAAAACACAGCCTTGAAAATCAACCATGCTACCTTTGCCTCGCAGGAATCTCACCTGCCATTCTTCCACTTTGACAGTTCCCACTGAGTCCTAGAGATTTGGTTCAGACAGTTCCCCCTCTATGAAGGCTTCCCTGAGTTTGGTGCAGAGCAGCCAAAACATACTGACAGCACTTGATACACTGAGAGCCCCCACTCCACCACATATGCCCTCCCCTATGCTCCTCAAGGTCAAGGACCATGCCCTCCTCATCTCTATACCCAGGGCCTACCTAGTTCTGGTACACAGTAAGCAAAGTCAGGAAGTGTTTGCTCTGTGCACTGCTCTTCTTTTTAGGTAAAATCTGTGCATCTCCAGCCTTCGTTCTTACCATGTTACCTACCAGTTTCCATTTCACTGTCCTTGTTCTATTTAATACAGCAGATCTCTGGGTGAAGAGGGCTTCCCAACCCTTATAAGTTACACACTGTCCTTGGCCAAAATATTCCAGCACCCTGAGCCTTCATTCTGAAATCAAACCTAATCACATTCTTTTCCCGTTCCCAATTAACCCATGTTAATTTCGCAGCAGAATGAAGACCTGTATTACCACCAAGAATCACAAGTTTGAGATCGCAATTTTGAGCACATTCCTAATTGGCTAGGTAACCTTGGAGAAGAGTTAAAATGGAGGTGGCTATGTCACCAGGCTTAATTCTCAGAGAATCTTGGAGATTCAAATGGAATAGATGATGCTAAAGTGTTTTCTAAAGTGCAAAGTACTATACATTCATAAAGGACATGATTAACAAATTTTATCAAATTTCAATCATTGACTGTAAGATGTGTCATTATCAACCTAAAATGGAAAAAAAAAAAAAACCTGTTGAACTATGACACATCCGTGATTATAAGACAACCAGATTTAGTGACATTAAAATGTGAAAAAGTGTCTTAGAATTAATTTAACACAATTTATCTTAATAAAAACAGGATCCTGCTATAAATGTTTCATATTTGTCAGTAGCACATAATAGGTACTCAGTAACATGTCAATTAAATGAACAAACACCCAATGATAATATTCTTAAACAAATTATCACCTCTCACTGAAACTGGGCAGCAGGAGGCTTCCCAACGTGAGAAATCCCCTCTCATTCATGTTCCAGCCTGCTGGAAACCCTCAAATGATGGCTTCAAGTCATATCCAAACTCAATAACTTGGCATTTTTAAAGTCCTTCATAATCAAGTCTCCTCTCCCACCCATCATTTCCTGGAATTGTCTCCCTCTCTTGGAGGCATCACCTCTCCACCAGAATGTGACTTCAAGAGGGATCCCACTCATTCCCACCATAACAATCAGCTCAGAGGCTCAGCTTCTCCTTCCTCTCCCTACCACCAAGGCCAAGGCTAAGCCTATGCTATTTACAGGGTGCCAGACCCTGAGGGACTGTCTGACCCAGAGGCCCCAAATTTGCACCCCTACCATTCAAATAGCTACTCCCGTCTACAGACTCTACATTCTAAACTACGAAGGCTTGAGCACTGGGGTTAAGGGCTGCCTTGCAAGCATCAGATGCAAGATACATAATCTCCTCTTTAACTGGCCCTGGTGCTGGCAGATGTTCTGCAAGGAGGAGGATTTTGATGGAATAGAGAGAACTCTACTGGGTGTTCTGTACCCCCACTGTGGTCCACCTTTACTCTGTCTAGGGCTGACACTCTACATGTTTCCCTACCTGTAAGAGTGAGGCAAAGTGAGAATGGGAGAGAAGGTTAGCTCTTTCTAAAGACACCCCCATCCACTTCCCTTCCTTCCTCTAGAGAAATTTCTTAAAATGCACACGTACAGGAAGAGGAAAAGCAGTAAGTCACTAACACATTTGTGACAATTCATTTTATTGGAGAGGCAAGACATCCAGAAAAAGGGATGGGGGATCAAAAGAATAAGGTGATTGAAACAATGTTAAGTGAGTTTGGCTGAGGAAAGTAGCTCAGAGATAACCCTGAGTTCTTGCTAATCCTTTCCTGTTGGAGGGAAAGTGGTGGAACCCTCCTAAGGAAAGGAAAGTAGAGTTTTCTTGGGACCCTGAATCCCAAAGACTCCACTCTGCCCAAGAATCCAGGTACCATTCCACGGACGAGTTCATCTCAGGTCATACCCGTCCCTATTCCAAACTTCATGCCCCCATTTACAGTTCATCTTTATTTCCCACCCTTTATTCAGTCTTCTCTGGTCTGCACTTGCCTCGCTGAAACGCCCTTCCTCCATGGCTGGTTGACTTCAGAAAATTCCCCATCCTTCAAAAGCAACAATCAAGCACAGCCCCCTCCAAAGGCCATTTCCTTAAAACTCTTATCCTTATATTTCCCCTCAGCACTTAACATTTCCTATTGGGTCAGGTTTGGCTTCTCCACTCAGTTGAATGCTCCCTGAGGGTAAGATCTGGGCCCAACACACCAGCAACGTGCCTGACACACAGTGGGGACTCTAGAAATGCTTACAGAATGGGAAGTAGGAGTCCTGAGCCACCTACTTTATTTATGGCTCGATCTCTAAAGAATGACTTCAGGGGAGACCCTCCAGTCTTGGCCTCGGTTGCTCTAACTCTGAAATGGGAGGACTTGAATGACTGGGTCTCTAGGCCCTTTCCACTGTGACAACTGAGATTCCGCGAAAGCTCTAAGCGGCTAGGCGTGGCCCCGCCCCCTGGGCGCCCAGAAAGCCCGGGCAGGGGGCGCGCAAAGACTCCAACCCCGCCCAACCCCCGATCGAGGCTTCCCCCAAAACTCTGGGTCCCCCTCCCCCACGGCGTGCACCCGGTGATTGGGCCGCGGTCGGCACTTCCGCACCGCGGGCCTGGCGGCCGGGGAAGGGAGCTCTGCACCCCGCGCTCCTGCCACCCCAGAGGCGCTCTCGCCCGGGGCGGGCTGGGGGTTCCTGAAGCGCCCGCGGGCGGAGGGTGAGGGGGAAGGAAGGAGGATTTGCAACAATACCTCAGGGAGGAGGCAGACGGGGCAGCGGCAGCAGCGGCGGCTGGAGGCGGAGGCAGAGGCGGAGGAGGAGGTGCCCGGGCACTCCCCCTCCCATTGTCCCCAGCCCCGGACAGGCCCGGCCCCACGCCCCGCACCGGTCCGGGCGAGCGCACCGCCCGCGCCCAGCGCCCCGCGTCCCGGGCCGTGCAGCCAGCCCTTACCTTGCAGCGCTCGGCTCTCCCCGATCGCTAAGCTACTTATCCCGGGAAAGCTGCGCGGGGCCCGGGAGCGAACCCACAGACAAAAAGTGAAACTTCGGCAGGGCTGGAGCGACTGCTGGTTGGTGCCTTTCCCCCTCCTTCCTCCCCACCGTCCCCACCCCCTCCCCTCGGTCTCCCGTGCGGTGCCCTGAGCGCTGGAGGCTGACGTCAGGGGCCTGAATTCCTGACTTTGCCTGCACGCATTTGTCCATGTAAGGTATGGGAAGGCGTGTGCCCGCGGGCCGCAGCGCAGCGCTCGCCCGGCGGGGGAGGGGGCGCACGCAGCGGGCAGTGACTTTGCCAAAAGGTGGGCGCACAGAGGGCATTGCATTTCCTGGGAGGAAGAGGAGGAGACGTGGGAATGTAGGGAACTTGCAAAGGAGGAAGGGAAAGAGGGAGGTGTGGAGGCTTGCCTCCACTGGAGGAAGAGGAAGGAGACGTAGGAGGAAGCGGCCGAGTTGAGGGGCTGCTAGAGAAGTGGGGCGACTTGAGTCTCCTATGCAGGTGCCAAATTAGGGGACTGAGCCTGAGCTAAAGTATTCCCTTCGACAGACCTCCTCCTGAGCCCCACCCCGGATTCCCAGCAAGACTCAAAACTTACAGGATGTTCAAACTGGCAGAGACAAACTTCCAACCCATTCACTTCACCCGTGAGAATGCTGAAACTTGCAGAAAAGAAATGATTTGCACAGAACCTACTCTCAACAGATCCAGGAGCGGGACCCGAGTCCCTGCCTCCCCTCAGGATTGATTCCAGCCCGCAGGCAGGGTCCTGACTGCCTCCTAACCTCTGAACTGTGAACCAGGTTAGATATCAGACTAGGCAGGAGGACCACCCAGTGAAGTGACTTTATATTTCCCTTCCAGAACTAGTTCTGAGAAGGTTCTGGTTGACAGTGAGCCCTGAGGAACAGAGACAATCAGTTGCTTCAGGGTAACTTCCCTTGTACTATGCTGAAAGAGGTGAGTTAAACAACTACAGCTTGCTCTGTACTTACAGTTTCGAAAAAATGTATACGAACTGGGTGGACTGGTTTGAATAAAGACAAGCCTGTTCTTGGAAGGTTCAAGTCGGATTTTTTTTTTCTCTGACGTTTGAAAATGTGAGCAAAGGTGAGAACTACCATTTACTGTATCCAGGGGTTATTTCCTGGAAAGCACTACCATTTACTGTATCCAGGGGTTATCCAGGGGTTATTTCCTGGAAAGCACTCCAAACCCGTGACACAAGGAAAGTGTTTCTATCCTATTCATATCTAAATGAATGATCTCTCACTGCAACATATCATAAAAACGCTCTTTCATCTGTCTTATTACATCTTCAAGTGAGTTGGATAGGATTAATTGTAGTCCATCTTCTACCTTTAAGGCAAAAACTCAGGTAAAGGATTTGCCAAGCACAAAATAACTAAGCAAGACTTGAACTCAACTGCCCCCCCCCCCACCATCCAGGTCACCTGATTCTGTGCTCTTTCCATGCCATCTTCCTGGCCTTTACTTCCATCAGGACCTAATTCCACTCATACATGGTGAGAGTACACTTTGAGTTAATAATGCACAAAAACTCCTAAACATGTTTTTTTTTGAAGTTAGATTTTGATGGAATTCTTTTAACCAAGAATTAAGGAAATAAATGTAAAAACCATAGGCTGTTGGACTCATTTATTGAGCATTTCTTTTGTGAAGTCTTTGAATTCAGACATTTCTGGGTTTAAATTATTATTTTTTTAAAGATAGAGTGAGAGAGGGAGGGAGAGAGAGAGAGAATTTTTAATATTTATTTTTTAGTTTTCGGCGGACACAACATCTTTGTTTGTATGTGGTGCTGAGGATCGAACCCGGGCGAGCGCGCTACCGCTTGAGCCACATCCCCAGCCCCTGTTTAAATTATTTAACCTCTTTGTTCCACTCAATTTTCTCATCTATACATACAAAAATGTGAATCTGGAGGCAGAGAAAGATGACTGAGAATACCCACCCAGTGCCTCTCACTCCCGAGATGGCCCACATCCTCACTTGAATGTGTATTTCCTGCTTTATCCCCAAAGGGTCTCTCTTGAGATTGCCCTATTTCTTCCTTAAATGTGTATCTGCTTTCCTAAATAAACCTCTTTCTATGGCAGGAGGCTGGGAGTGGAGATACCCACCCATTCCACATGATAATGAACTATTTTTCTTTTTACTTCTAACATGATTTTTAAAAATGAGAAAGATGAGCTCTTAAAGAGATTTTGTTCTGAGATTTTAAAAATACCAAATCCTATCACAACACAATTCACTTATTCTATCAAACATTTCAGCAAACCCACATCCTGAATACTACTATTTAGTATGAAAAAAATCCCAGTATCACAGGAGGTAAGAGTGGATTCACCCAATTCTCATCAGCTATAACGGGACTTGACCGGCATTTCCCCACCCACCCACCCCTCTTTCTCCCACTTATAAAGAATAATAGAGTTCTAATGAGGATTAATAAAATTTAACAAGGTATAATTAGTCATTCATTTCCTCTATCATGCACATTATAAGAGTGCTGTTTTGGACCCAGAAATGCTACTAATTATGTTGAAACTGTTGCATGGGTGTGTTGGGGAACATCACTGTGTTTCTCCTCCTGAAATATTTATGAAATTCTTAGGTAGGCATGGTGTTAGCATGAGCATTACATAATGTTAGTCACAAAAGATAATTTCCATTTATGAGGCCTTCACAGGCGTATAAGTGACAACATCATCAGTTGGATGCTTGGTGAACCGCATGTAGTACTAACCCAAACCAACATCTCATTCTTGTTTACTATTCTGGTTTCTTTTGCACTGTCGATTTTTTTTTCAACATCCTATTAACACTTGCTGTATGCAGGGGTTTGGACCAGAAGGGAAGACTGTAAATTTTCAGACTCAGTACTAGAGAAATGCTGGTTTATCTGTTCAAAGAATAAAAAATGCACCATCTCAGGTGGGGTGGGGTCCCACGGTCCAAGGATGAAACACTGATCTTTTCAAGACCAAAAGTAGCAATCTCATTAGTGTGTTGATGGCACAAAAGATTTTTAGGCAGGTTGGGCTGTGTTTCCACCATTCCGTTGTAGCCACTAACAACTCTGCACACAAGGATCTTTGTGCAGTTCATACAGTTACAGGGCTAGAGATCTGCCAGCCTGATCCAGGGCAGCCACTGTAGACCTGAGGTCCTGGTTCTTGTGAATCCACCCAAAGAATTTTAGGGAAACACAGTAGTAAGTGAAAAGTTTAAGAGAGTGAAAGGAAAGAGGAACGTATAGCATAGGAAGTGCAAGGACCCCCTGGAAGAGAGGATGGTATGGTGCTCACAGAGTTGAAGTTTTTAAGGAAATGAAGTTCCCTGTTCTTGCCTCAATTTTCCTGACCCCTTGATTGGTTTCTTATCCTTTGGCTACTTATCAGTAAACTTCCTTTTTGAGGATCTCAATGTTCTGGTTGACAGAGTGATTTGGTGGCTGTGGCATAGTTGTGGTGATAAGGGAGGGTTCTGGGGTCTTGGTTGCAAGAGATAATGAGGATCTGGTCTGAAAACAGTAGTGTCCCTTGAGGGGTTATGACCAACTAGAGCTGGGGGAGGTCTTGACATACCAGACCCCACTTTTCTGATGCTCATCTGTTTCAGATAGGGGTCACCAGGATTTTAGGTAATTGTTCCCTCAAGGGATTATATTTATTTATCTACAGATTGGGGAGGATTATGCATTCTAGCTCTCATTCCCAAATTCTTACCAGTTTAGATAAGATTCTCTACTGTTTCAGTTTTATAACTCCTGGATTTTTCTTGGTGCGTAAGCCTAATGTCTGTCGTCTGTCCTTTATTGTCCTTTCAAGGCTAAATAACCTACCTAATAATGTAGTTCCTTTTTTCTTTTTCTTTTTTTTTTTTTTTTTTGGAGTGCATATAATATGCCAGGCTATTCTAGGAATGTTTTAATATGCAATTCACTTCATAAATTGGCATTATTTCTCCATTAAATCCATGATGAAACTAAAGCCTGGGGAGGCTAAGTAACTTACTGTTAATACAAAGCTAATACTTGGGTAAGCTGGGTCTACCCTGAGCCCAGGAAGCCTGGTTCCTCACCTACCCACTGCTCCCACATATGCTTTATACATAATCAGACAGTAACTCCCATCCACACCAGTGCCCCCCCCCAAGTTTGAACTTCAAAACCTAGGAGCTAAATAAATCTCTTCTCTTTGTAGGTAGCATACGTTAGGTATTTCATTATAGTGTCAAAAAGCTGACTAATACAGTCATATTTTTCTAGGAAAAACTAAGCACACAAGACAGTTTTAACATTTTATATATCCTGTTGTGTAGTCAAGTGTAGTTCTCTTTCCAAGGCCATGGATGATGCTGACTCTAGCCCAGCTGGATAAGCATTAACCCTTCAAAAAGAGGTAAAAACTTGATATGGTAAACAGCAATGGTAGGCTTTGTGTAAATGCAGCATTAAAGATAAAGAAGAAGTTTACAAAAAGTTTGTTTACTCTCCATTCTTCATACCTCACAATACAATGGGGGGAAATAATCTCAATGTAAAAACAGAATACATCATCAGACTTCCTAAGTAAATTTCTTCTTCCTTTTATTGGTACTAGATCTTTTCTAAAGGGGAAAAAAAATTATCACAACCTACTTTTATCATTGGCATAGCAGATTCAAGCCAATGTGCACAAATGATTACTTTTATCTGCCCCATGGGTTTCTGCACAGTTTTACCTAGTTTCCACTGACTGGCTACAGAGATATCACTATTTGCATTTTGCAAATTTTGCAGGATCAGATATCCACATATATTTTTGCTCATTCCAATTCAGATCCTGCTTCCAGTCTGCTGACTTGTGAGTTCAAGTAAACCGAGGACCTAGAAGAAATATAACCATCCCTGGGAACTAATAAACCTTCAGAGGTCACACAGTACAGAGTGACAGTGGAGTCCAGTCTGTGGTAGCAAGGATGCTAGAAGAACTTTAATCTTACTTGGTTCGTGATCACTGTGAAGACTGACAGTCCATATCACCTTTTTGTTCTCATAAGTGTCTACCATGAACCTATTAACTGTACTAGACTTGTGTATAGTGTTGAGAAAATAGATGTAGTCCTCATTTTACATGCTAACACAAAGATACATAATACCAGCTTGGGAGGGTGGGGTCTGCTGAGATAAGTTAGCTGAGACTTCCCAATCAACTGTGGGTGGACTGAATCCACTGCTTCGGCTACAAACCTCCTTTGATGGTGATGAGCCTGGAGATCCATGCACCCTAGGACCCATTGGAGAACACAGACCTGGGGCTCACAGTTTTATTTTCGCACAATATCAGCAGGATGATGTCCAAGGATTTGATGGATGCAGCCAAGCCTCACTTACAGGCCCCAGTGGTCCCTCTAGGAACTGCACAGAATTGTATTGTTGCTAAAGAGTGTCTGCTAGTTCTTGGGGATCTATGAATAGGCTTAGGATGCACTCTGCCTCATTCGTGGCTGGAATCCAGTGTCATCTACTCATTAGGCATCACAGCAGATATCAGGGCAGTTTTAGATGTATGGAGAGAAGTTCATGATAGACAGATATATAGACAGATAGATAGATCTCTTTCTCTTTTAACATTTATATACATATAAATTAAAGTACAACTAAACTGTAGATATATATTATATATTCTACACACTACACACACAAATAGAGTTTAACTGCAGTATAATTATTTGTAGTTTTTGGGGGGCGGTATAAAAAAAAACAGAGGTGCTTTACCACTGAGTCAAATCCCCAGCCCTTTTTAATTTTTGTTTTGAAACAGGGTCTTGCTGAGTTGCTCAGGGCTTCACTATGAGACAAAGACTGGCCTTGAACTTGCAATCCTGTTGCCTCAGCCTCCTAGTTCTCTGGGATTGCAAATGTGTGCCACCATGCCCAGTTAAGTATAATTTCGTAACATAAAATTCATTCATTTTAATCATACACATAGTTTTAGTAAATGTAGTATAATTATTGAGTTGTGTAATCACCACTGCATTCTAATACTAGTGCAGTCCT